TAAATGTAAGTATCCAGCTGTGTGTATTTTCAAAGAGCCAAACTGCTCTAAGATCTTCAGCAGAAGAGCAATATGTGTATTTATGTATCACAGAGTTTGCAAAACCCTTCCCTCCTCAGTTCTCCTCAAATTTCCTTACTTTGGGGTATTTCATCTGCAGCCTTAATGATTGGTTTAGTCTCTGTTTCTCATGTGCAATTTGAGTTTTTTGAGATAATAAGCAGAAATGAAGGCCAGGGCTCAGCTAGCACGATCAATGTGCAGCAAACCTTGGGCAGAGAGAGGGGTGGGAGCTCAGTCCTGCCCTGACTCATCTGTCCACCAAACCTGAGCCTTTTTTCCTCTTGATTTTTCTTCTTCACTCTCTCCCAGCTCTAATGCATGTTTCCCTCTCTGAGAGATCATTGTTCTCCTGCCCCTTTCACTGCAGTCCCCAGCTTTGTGCCAGATCCATCCCCGCTCCCCGGCCAAGTCGCTCTCCTCTCACGCCCTGGTGGTTTTGCCTTTTTCACAATTCCCCCCTCTTTTTCCTGTTTAAGTATCTGCCTTTCCCTGCTCACCTCCGAATTCATGTCTTGGCTCCCTCATTTGTCAGTGTCCTTAATCTTATTCTCCTCTGGGATGAGCTTATTTCTTCTCTCATCTCCCTTCCCCCACCTAATTTTTGAGGAAATCTCTCTCTTGATTGCCCCTCCTTTTTTATTATTTTTTTCCCCTTTTCAGAGGCATCCAGCCCCTTCACCCAGCCAGTCCCAGTTCCCCTCCTGCATCCACACAGGAATCTGTGCTCCCTGGGATGTGCAAATCCTCAGCCTGTTCCAAACCCCACCAGAGTTCAGCTCGGGCTGCTGCCCAGACTTCAGCCGTGCCTCCGAGTTAATGATGTGAATTAAGGAGTCAGCATTAACTTGGAATTTTCTGCCTTTTGGCTTTTCTTCTCACAGCTTGATGTTTTTGTAATGTTCTGGTTTTTTTTAAAAAAAAAAAAAAAAAAAAAAAAAAAAAAAAAAAAAAAGCAACCCAGATGGGGAATGAAGTGCCAGCAGGACGAATTTCGGCAGTTCTGCCACAGCTCCCTGGGACTGTCCTGGAGTGTTGCCCCTCTTGGTGCCATGTGCCAGAAGAGCCACATTTGGTGTCTCAGAATCCCAGGATTATTTTGGGTGGAAAAGACCTCCAAAATCATTGAGTCCAAGCCATGCTTGATCCCCACCTTGTCCCCAGCCCAGAGCACAGAGTGCCATATCCAGGAATTCCTTGGACACCTCCAGGGATGGGGATTCCACCACCTCCTGAACAGCCTGTTCCTATGCTTCCAGTCCTCTCCAGGAAGAAATTGCTCCTGGTGTCCACCCTGAGCTGCCCTGGCCCAGCCTGAGGCCGTTCCCTCTGCTCCTGTCCCTGTTCCCTGGAGCACAGCCCGACCCCCCCGGCTGTCCCCTCCTGGCAGGAGCTGTGCAGAGCCACAAGGTCCCCCCTGAGCCTCCTTTTCTCCAGTCTGAGCCCCTTCCCAGCTCCCTCAGCCTCTCCTGGGGCTCCAGCCCCTTCCTCAGCTCCGTTGCCTTCACTGGACCAGTTCCAGCCCCTCAATGTCCTTCTTGCAGTGAGGGATTCCTAAGTGGAGACAGGATTCAAGGTGCTCCTCACCAGGGCAGAGTACAGAGGGAAAATGCTGAGAGTCTCATCCTAAAGTCAGCTCAGCCACCTCAGGCAGGTGCCACCTTGGGGAGGTGGCAGTTCTAGACAGGTGTCCCAGCAGGGAACACATTCCCTGCCAATGGTGCCGAGGAACAATGGGAAAAAAGGGAAATAAGAGAGGTGACAAGCTGGGAAACAGCCAGCAGGGAAGGGTCAGCCCCCAGGCAGAGCAGGGAATTGATTCACTCCCCTCCCAGATGCATCTCACTGATTTCCTGCAGCACCTTGACAGAAAGCAGATACTACAGTGATAGCTAATTTAAAGGTATCAATAGAGAGTCACACTGCAATCTGCTGAATCCCAAACCTTGTATGTGGGCACACCATCACACCACACCTCCCCAGGCACAGGATGTGCTGAGGCTGGGTGATATTACACAAATCTGCTCCGAACTGTCACAGACTGGGGCCCTGCAAATGATTTCCAAGCTGTGGCACAGCTTTGTACATCCTAGGAATGATTTCAGGCAGTCACATCCATGGATGCAGCTTTGCACAGCAGTGGAGATTCACACACTGAATCCTGCAGGTCAGAGCAGCTGCCCCATATCCACATCCCACCTCAGCTGCCTGGAGGAAACAAATGGAATCAAAAATGTTTGATTTGAGCAGAATTCCATCACCTGGATTTTTAGAATGGAGTGAAGTTTGCCCCTGGGATGTGCTTAGGGATGTGTTTAGGGATGTGGTGTAGTGGTGGACGTGGCAGTGCTGGGTTAATGGTTGGACTCGATGGTTTTGGAGTCTTTTCCAACATGAATGATTCTGTGATCTCAAAAAATAAATAATAATGTTATCAGGGGTTAAAGAGCTATTGGATCCCCCTGAGATGCAGACAGAGAGATACAATTCCTGTTGTGACCAGCACACCTTTAATCTAAAACTGTTTCAGAAGTTCCATTTGTGTGGATTTTTGCTTTGCAGGGAAGCTCCAGCCTGGGTTAATAATACAGTGGCAGCACTTCACAATGCTCTCCACCATCCAGAAGTAGCTATTAAACTGTCAACAGCACTAAAAGATGATATTTTGATGGCAATGGATAGGAACCCCATCTCCCTGCCCGTGCTACTCAACATTTCTGCAGCTTTCAAGTGCAGTCAAGCATAATTTGTCACTGCCTTGCATATGTGACACTGTCTGAACAGAGACTCTCAGCTACAACTCTGTCAATCAATTTTTTTTTCCCAGGCAAAACTCATGTAGCACCAACAGACAGCAATTCCCCTTCCCTTCCCCATGCCCCTTGCACTCTTGGCTGTTCACCATCCACCTGCAGACCTCAGGAGGGGTGGCAGGACGTGCCAGCTCTGGGGCTGGAGCTGCTTTGGACCTGCACAATGCCCTGCCCAGCTGCAGCCAGAGATACCATTTACTGCTCACAACGAGGGCTGGGTTTGGGCTCAGTGCATCCTGCTGGGAAACGCTTCCAAGGGATGACTTGGCCAAGATCTGTCTGGCTGTCTTCTTCCTTGCAGCCTAACCTTTCCTTTCGTGCTGCACGCATCCTAAAGGACATTTCCAGCACTCACTTCAGGTGAAAACACTTTTATTTTTTTGGCGGTTGTCACAAGTCTGCCGTAGGAGGGGGTGATCTCAGCAGTGATCTCTGCAATCACCACCTCCAAAGTGCACCTGCAATCTGGAAGGAACAGCAGATCCTGGCTGGTGCCAAAATCCAGCAGATAATCACAAACCCTTCGGTCCCCGCCGCAGGTTTAAGCTGGTGATCAAAGTCTTAAAAGTCATTCAATCCAATCTACATCAAACACTGAATAAAGTTGTGTTTTTCTCAGTCTAAACCTGTCTAGAGCCGGAATATTAGAGGCAGAAATAAGCTTCATTTATAATTCTCAAGCAAAATCAAATTATTTCATGTCCTTGTGCCCCAAGTTGTTTTTCTTTCTTCTCCTAACTGCAATAATGAGGAAAAGGTGGGAGGAAAAGTGCATCCACCTGGGCTGCTCTAGAAAGGCTCAGCAGCAAACGTTTTGAAGTCTGCCATGAAACATTCATCAGCCTCATTTGCATTACAATGTCATGGTTCTCTGGGTAAAATCCTGAAATCGTTGCAATTTTTTTTTTTTTTTTACTTAAAGGTTGCTAAAATCACCACATGCAGCTGATAGGAAGGTACTGGAGATCCAATGAACAACATGAGCACAATGCAATTCTGAAAGGATTTAAAGGAATCTGCTCTTACATTCTCTGCATTTTAAGTTCTGTAAATTTTGTTGTTTGTTTGGCACAAGCATATTTTCTAGAAAGGTATCTGAGAAATGCAGAGGTCACTGGTGTACTCTGAACATTTCTGTAGTATGTAATCACTGTCTCCAAAGAAATATCTATCTCAGAAGTACTTTGAGGTATTTTCTCCTTGAAAAACCCTTGGTGCACTGTAATCAGATTAACTCTCAGTATCCTTTTGGACAGCAAACCAGGCTGAACCACATGTTTTTAATTTTCCTTAGTGAGTTCAAATAATTTCTGAGCAGTTTTTTCTATAGTTCTATTTAGAATACGGATACTGAAATTAATGCAATATTCCAGTGCTGCTCTTAGCAGTGTTAGAGAAAATGATGCCAATCTTTGTTTACCCCATTAAGGCGTTACATAACTACACAGGTAAATGATTAAAAATCCTTCATTGTGTTCCATCATTAGCCTTGTGATTAATTATCAGAAGGGTGATTATTAAATTGTTGTGATATTCAGTTATTAATGATTTCTAAATGGCAAACATCGAGGAGAAGAAAGGTGCCACCACTGATTATTTTTAAAAATTTCCGATAAAAATTAAAACATCCCGGTGAAAATATCACCTTCAAAACATCATTTCAAAAACAACACAGCAATGGATTTTGGAGTAAATTAGGAATTTGCTGTGCTTCATGCTTAGAACAGGAACATTTTGGTGAACAGGAGCATTTTGGCAAACAGGTGCTGGCTATTTAAAAGTCCAGGAGGTCATTACAGAAATATGCGCAAGCAGCAGATTTGGACATTTCCTCTTAACTTTGCTCCAGAACACTCAGAAGGAGGGACACAACTTCAGTATTTAAATCACGACCCTGAACAGCTCCCAAGAGCCAAGGGCGAGGGGACACAAGCGCCACGCAACCCATCCCCAACCACCGCGCCCACCTCTTCCCATGCCCAGCTTTTTAAAACCCCGTTTTCCCGGGACACAAATCCCCCATGGAGCGGCTGTGCCGGAGCAGCTGCGGGCTCTGGAGGGTGAATAATTGATGTGCTGGCAGCTCGGGGCTGGCCCTGGCGCTGTCCCCGGGAGCGCATCCCGGGGATGCCCCGGCAGCGGCTCCGCGGCTCCCGCATCCTCGGCACCGCCCGCCGCCGGGAAACGCGGATTTGGGGTGAGTTCGGGCACTTTCGGGGGGTTTCTCAGCTTTGTCCTGACAGCTCCTTTCCTTCCTGTGCCGGTCTTTCTGACAACGGGCTCTGTTCTTTCGGAGTTTGAAGTGACTTTAAAAAAGGCTAAAAAGGCAGGAAGTGCTTGTTTTTAACTCTAGGAAATATGTGAGTAGCACCTACAGAACGGTCACTAAGGGTATGATGGAGCTGTCTGAAATTATCTTAAATAATTTTTCAACCCCCACTACGTGACAAGCTACTAAAATGAAAGATATTTATGTTCCCTTTTTACTGAGATTCATGTAATTCAGTGTCAAATGTGAGAGCTTGAAAGGAGTTTTGTTTTCCATTAAAAAAAAAAGGTGGTTCCCTGTTGGAAGTTTAACTTGTGGTGTTGTTTTTATTCAGTTACATACGTTTCTCAGAGGGCTGAGAACATGACCTGAGACCTGCATTAAGTTCTTAATTAATAACTCTGCATTAAGTGCTCTATTTTACCATAAATAGTGGAAAAGTAACTTAATTTTCCTAAGAATAGGGAGGAGATATATTTTATATATAAAGCACATGGCAGCGACGGTCTAAAGCAACTCTCACCCCTTCTTTATAGGGTGAAAAACATCAAAGTATTTTTATTTGTTAATCATTAACAGCAACTAGCTATAATACTTGTTTCAGCTGTCTGAGTGCTGTTATTTTCCAGCAGCGATCCTGCCAGCAGAGCCTGGGAGCTCTCAGGTAACTCAGTCCTTGGCACAGTTAAAAATTGATACAAAAGCAATCAGCTCCCGAGAGCAGAGGCCATGGGTAGGAGCAGGGATGTGAGATGAATCATGAATAAGCCTTGATTGTGAATAACAAGCTCCCTCTCTTTTTATTTGTTTTTAATTGCATAGTCCACATTCTGCTGCTTCTGCTTTATTTCCTTTGTTTTGATCACAAAAGCATTTCTTCTTTGGCATCTAAAACCCAGCCAAATTTTGAAGGGATACAAGTCCAGCACAATGATATCTGGTGCTAGCAGTAATTAAATGCCTGTGTTAAAATAAAAAAAAGACCCAAAAAACCAAGAGGTGAAAACAGGGATATGTAAACACCAGGAGATATGCAAAGAATGGATGTAATCCTGCACTCCTTAATCATGGGAGTCATCCTTATGCAGGAAAATAATCCTGCTGCTTTCAACAGACATCAGTGGGTGCTGGAGCACCAGGCCCAGCTTTTCCAAGGAGATAACAATGTTTTACCTGGCTTTTTTTTTGTTTTTTTCCTGCAGTGCAATTTTAGCAACACAGCTCCTGCTGATGTGTTTGAATGCATTAGTGATAATATTAAATTAGGCTTTACCTGATGTCCGTTTTGCCTCTGCAAGTGTGAAAGAGAAAAATGGGATAATGGATGAGATGTGGCAGGGAGAAGGTACAAACCTTAGTTTTATTGGCTGCCCCTGTTCCCTGTGTTTGCAAATCACTTTTTGGTCCGTGGGATGTATTTTTTTTTTTTTTTTTAAGGATAGGATGCAACTTTAGCATCAAAAAACCTCCTGATATCCCTTAAAGTGCATTTGGGTCTCCCTAAAAGTGATGTTGATAAATATTGTCTATCTAAGTACAAGGGGATTGTGATAATATCTTGGGAATGTTTTTATTGCTGCGATGCTCTGTGATCTTGCAGGAATGACACATTTTTATATAAATGTGGTGGTTTTGTTGCTTTTTTCACCAGCCCAGCTCAGCACTTCTGAGTTTTGCCCTCTCAGCCCGCGTGGTGCTGCCCTGTAATCCAGGAGGGGGCTTGCGAGCACCTGAGCGCCCTTCCCCAGGCAGAGCATCTGTTAATGAGGAAAACTAATTACTTAAAAGCTTTCAGCAGGATGGGGTTTGAAGTATAAATAGTCATGAACTGCTCCTGCTGCTCTGTGTTTGTGCTGCTGCCAGTGCTGGTGGGGTGGAGGGGGAGTCACACTTTGCAGTCACTACTCTGTGGGGGAAAATTCTCTTCTGAGCACCCAGAAAGGGGGAAAAATAGAAAAAAATTCCAAGTGAAAATGCACTGAATGGTGATTCCAGATGGTATTAAAAACTTACTCTGAAATGAGGCTGGCATTAAGTCTCTATTGGCTTTTTGTTGTTGTACTGAGCTATCAAGAACAAGTTGGTTTTCTTCCATCAGCTTTCTTACATGGTGGTCTCTATTTAAAAATGAGAAAAAATATGTTTAATGAGGTTTAAAATAAATTAATAATAATAATTTATTAAAATAATAATAAATAAATAAATAAAAATGAGGTTTAATAGATTATCACATTTTTTTTGCTACAGAAGCAGTTTAAAGCTGAGCTTACATTGCTCTCAGAGAGCTGGCAGCCATAAAATGACCCCAGTGCCAAGGGCTGGGGGGACAAAGTGGCAGCTGCAGGAGGCTGGAGTGGCCCTGGGCAGCATTTCCTTTCTCTTACTCCATGCAGAGTCCCCAGCAGCAGTCCTTTTCTGTCCCTGAACCCTGTCCATGGGGAGTTCCTAATCCTTGGAGAACCCCACAAGCACTGGTTGCATGTTAATTTGAACTTCATCCGTTTTGAAGGAACATTTTTTAGATCTGTTCTTCTTTATTGAATTCTACCTATAAAAAAATCCGAAATACATGTAGCTGTAATTATTTGAGGATCTCCTTCTGGCTCTGGGCACAGGTCAAGGGCCCATTTCAGTTTTTATTACTTTTCGAGAATTTTAGAGGTGGCTGTTGAAGCAAATTTGCTGAGAAGTTTTTCAAACTTGGCCAAAACGTGCTCTGGAATGGTTCAGCCTATTTTGTATGAAAAATTGTGTGTGCAGTGATGTAAAATGTTTGGGTTTGGGGCTTTTTTTTGTATGAATTGTGTATAGAAAAGGTGTTTTCTGTGATTATTGATGTGTCATTCTTATGTCTCTCCTTGTCATGGTTGGTACTTGGTCAAAGGTTGGATTTGATGATCTCGGAGGTAATTTCCAGCCTTAATGATGCTGTGATCCTGTGACTTTGAGGTCTTTTCCAACCTCAATTATTCCACGATCTTGTGATTTGAAGTGGAAAAGCTGAGCTGGTGTGAGTGTACATGTATTTAATGTATGACTACAGACAAATGAAACTGTAATGCATATTTTTAAAATTAAGGTTTTCCCTTGTCTTCCTTCTCTGCTGCAAATCCCAGCCTGGGAGCAGAGTTCCCAACAGTCCTTGCTTGTTTGTGCTCCAGCCCAGCCCCAATTTCCCCCCAGGGCATTTTCAAGGGTGTTCTTCTCTGCTGCACTGCTGCTCCTGATCCATGAGACACTTCTGCATCCCTGGGGAGAGCAGAGGACAGCCCCACTCCCACCCCTGTGTGTGGTCCCACCCCAAACCTGTCCCAGATTGCCATCAGCGCTGTGCATTAATCACTCCGTTAATTGGGTGATGCTGCAACACCTCAGTCACACACCTGGCAACCCACTGAGCAAACTCCTGTGGGGAATAAACCCTGACCACAATCTGTGAAAAGGGATTCTCTTCCTCTCCTCCCTGCAAAGTATAAACAGCTCTAGGTGTTGTGTCCCCACTTGTTGATGGTGTGTTACCATTAATAATTATTCGGGTCCTGCATAGACTTGTATCACAAACAACTAAAAATGTCTTTTGTGCCCATGGCAGGAGGTGGAATGAGGTATAGAAACCTTTGCTGGTGATTGAAGCCCATCAGTGCAGGATTTATCAGGAGCAGAGGACAAAACAGTGCAGAAAACACACAATAACCAGTGACAAAATCAGCTATTGATGATTACTTTCACTGTCTTTTGGAAGAAGAATAGAATCAAGAGAATATGGGCACATTTCCCCTTGAGTCTGTAGGATAAATATGTGGGGAAAAAAGAAGTGTTTTAGCAGCAGGAGGTAACTCTGGTCAGTCCCCATGGGTGCTCTGGGACACCTCTGGGATTGGGTTTCAGATCACTTTGGGTTTAATTGATTGCATTTAGTTTTCTGCTTCTATTGCTCTGGATTCCTAGTGCCACCTGGAGCTGCCAGCATGGAAGATGGATTTTGGAGGCTGAGCAGGTTGGGGAGATACCTGGCAGGGCTTGGCTCTGCAATTCCCATGGGAAGCAGGGCAAGGCAGAGCCCAGGACCACACATGGAGAGCTTCTGCCTCTTCTGAAACCAACTGCTGCTCTTTGGAGCATTTAAAATTATTTTAAAATTCCTTTTTCTGGATAAAATCAAACTTTAACAGGCAAAGTTCCCGTGCAAATTCTTACAGAACAAGAGAACATTTTTTTAAATGTAGTTTTGGTTGACAGGATACCTTTAAGAACAGATTATACTGAAAGCAAGGTTTAATCAACGATAGATGGTTGGGTCTCACTTTGCTCAATTTTCTGTGGCTGAGGGACTAAAGCTGAGCTGCCCATGAAATCCCTCACCTGCATTAATTGTCAGCATTGCAAAAGCAGAGGAGCAGCCTGCAGGGAGGGTCTGTGCCAGCCTGCAGGTGACTGCACCAAACTCCTCTGTTGTTCAGACAGCAATTGAAGCTGTGTGGTTTTATTCCCATTTCCCATGCCTGGAGCTGGTTGAGTTCCCACAGAGGGCATTGTCCCAGCGTGTGGCACACAGGGAGGGCACTGTGGGAGGATGCCCTGGCCGTGTACAATGAGACACTCTCTCCAAGGAATATGGGAGAGCTGATGTCAGTGTGCAGCCTGAGAGCTGCCCAGTGGGAACAGCCTTTGCCTGCTGGGCCCAGAGCTGAACCACCCCAACTCTCCTCTCCTTGTTTTATCCTCTCATGGTTACCTCAGCCTGAGTTTATCTCAAGGCTGAATTTTCTAGCAGGCAAACGCTGCTCGCTTCGGGTTTTTTCCTTTCTTTCCTTGCCTTGAACAACAGCTCCTGACCTACTTCTGTCTTTTAATTGCTGCTGCAATATGAATTTTAATTCCAGCCAGAGTCCAGATGTATTGAGGATGCACAGCACATGCCAGGGCCA